GAGGATCTAATGGACAACATATAGACCAGTGATGGCGAACCTTTTGAGCTCGGCGTGTCAGCATTTTGAAAAACCCTAACTTAACTCTGGTGCCATGTCACATATAGAAATTGTTTGATATTTGCAACCATAGTAAAACAAAGACTTATGTTTTTGATATTTATTTTATATATGTAAATGCCATGTAACAAAGAAAAATCAACCAAAAAAATGAGTTCGCGTGTCAGAGGTGACACGATCATAGGGGTCATAGGTTCGCCATCACTGCCCTATACTGTATACTTTATGAATCAATAAAAAATGTACAATTTTTAATTATAAAACTGTGTTTTCTATCAAAATTACTTCTTGCGTGAATTTTGGGATACCCTTTATAAGTAAAATCATATGGTATTTGTCTTTCTCTGTCTGACTTACTTCACTTAGCATAATACCCTCAAGGTCTGTGCATGTTGTTGCAAATGGCAAGATTTCCTTCTTTTTTTTTACTGCTGAATAATATTTCATTGTGTGTGTGTGTGTGTGTGTGTGTGTGTGTGCATCTTCTTTATACCATAAAGTATCAATAGTATTGTAGTCTTTTAAACAGCTTGATTTGTCACAGATGATATAAGCTTATGTCAGAACCCCTCCTTTTATTTCTAGTATAGTATAAGTACTACTCACTGATATAGTTCCTTTCTCTTCCTTGAGTTCTCTGCCCTTCTATTGGTTGTCATACTGGGACTTTCGATCTTCAGGTGATGACAGTCATGGAGGACATATGCAGTTAGTTTTGACTACAGTTTCTGAGCTTGAAACAACTTATGTTCTTGTTCTGTTGCTTTATACACTGCTTAGAGAGAGTGGCCTTCCTATTTCTTAGCATCTGTCCTCCCCTCTAATTTTTTCCCACCCTTAAATATTTTTTTTCTTGAAATTCTGTATGAGAGATCATAGAAGCGTTTAATTGTAATACTTTTGGGGTCATGAGGGAGAATATGGAGGAAGGTTTCTTAGCTTTCTGATCCTCAATTTGATCATTTGTAAATTGGGGTTAATACCTTTCTTACCAGCCTAAGGAGATTGTTGGACAGAGCGAATGAAATAATGGACTTGGAAGGGACAGTGATGATGCAGCCGCAGATGTTTATCAGCTTGTTTCCTCTCATTCTCTGGCCTGGGCTTTTTCACCAGGAAGTGAGTCCACAGTAGAGGGCTGCTTGCATTTTTCATAATCTTACCAACTCTACTATAACAAGCAGAGGCATTACCTCATTGTGGCCAAGCGTATTTGCTTTCTAGCAGTAATTACTCATAACGAGTTTCACTTCTCCTCCTGTTGACTTTCCATCCCTCATCACATCTTTCTCTCATTCCCTGCACCCCTCCTCCCCCATTCTCAGGCACAAAGCCTCATTCCCAGGGGCCCAGCTCAGGGCACTTTCTTCCCAAGCCCTAACATTCCAAACTAAGCACCTGCAATTTATGATCTCTGTTCCCTTGCAGCACAAAACACATAGCACACAATACATATGTATCAGGAGAGGAATTGCAGTGGAGTGAAAATAGAACATTATACTAAGACTCAAATAACTGGGCTGTGGTCTGGCCTGTGTATCTCACTAGCCCTTTACCCTTGGGTAAATCACTTCCTTTCTGTGATTCCATCTGTAAGTGATGGGTGTGTGTGTGTAGAAAAGCACTGGCCCAGAAATTTGCAGATCAGGTTTCTTATTCTGGTGTTATTGCTTGCCTACTTACTCTGTGACCTGGGAGAAATCATTTCCCCCTTTACTGGGCCATAATCCTTCATATGTAAAACAAGAAGGTTGAATTAGGTGATTCATTAAGGTCCCAGCCAATCTGGAAATTGGATGCTTTTATGAAATGAGTTTCATTAAATAAACATTACTTGGAATGCCTACTCTGTGTCAGGCACTATATGATGGTGGTTGAAATTATGACTGGGAACAGTCCTGAGACCCTGAGTACAATTGCTGCTTGCTCCTCACTGTCACAGATTGGACCCATAGGCCAGTTCCTATACTTTTCTTGCCTTGGGTCTTCCACCCTTGAACCCCTCTTCCACCACCTCTAACTTTAACCAGTAATGATGAAATATGTAGGAACTTCTGAAACATACTCCACCATTTACCTGCTGGAGACATTCACAGTGCTGTCATCAAGATCTAGTGTGGTCTCTGGCTGCCCTAATTGAGAAACAGGCCAGTAAGCAATGACAGATTAATGGAATTGGGAGGAAAGTGGTTGATGTTTGACAGATGGGTCTGTGAAAGCCATTTGTGAGCTGGGCTGAGGAGATTAGATCTAAAAAGACTCTTAGCACCTTGAATCTGAGATAACTTGTTCCAAAGACACCTTGAAAGGTCCCTGTAACTACATCTTATTGCTGTAAGGGGACACCTGATAAAAGATGAGAAGCTTCCTTGGTTATATTAAGGAAAGGAAGAGGTAGCTTTTCTTAGTAATCAGTCTAGAGTTAAACAGCCCTCAATGGTTAGAAAGTTGCCTCACATTTTGATTTTGGGACAAAATGACTGAATGGTATTACTCAGTGATAAGCATAGAGTGTGTGATTAGGCACCCTTTATTTTATTCTACCCATTTCAACCTGGCTGATGCATCCTTGTGAAAAGCCAACATGAACGCACTATTGGACATTCTACCTAGGTCAAGTGGACACATCCTGCAACTCCATGGTGAGCTTTTCTTCCCTCTTCTCCCTTGTATTAAGAGCAGGCTCTGTGAGTTGTTTTCCTTCGTCCTCTCACTGAAAACAACTTGGTTTCTGACCCTCTTGAGATATCACCGCCTTCCAGGCTTCCAAGCCAGAAAGGCCATTCAACTGGAAGCTGGAGTCTCTCGGGGAAGGCTGGGTTTCATTAGGCTCCCCTCTGGCCACTCGTTTCATGCTGGATGTCAAGAGTTAAAAGATGTCAGATCAGGCTGCATTTGAGTTGGCAGAAAAGTCACTAATTCAGTTCTACGTCTTTTTTCATTGTAGCCTAGAGACCACAGAACTCTAAATCAGGTGGAAGGAAGGAATGATGGAAAAAGTGCTGGAAAGCAGAAGCCCATAAGGACCCAAATGGTCCTCGAGAGAATAATTTTATCCAAAAGCAAGAGCCAAGTGACATATAAATGAGCCACAGGACTGGCCAGCCAGATGAAAAATAGACTGATGGAGCCTACATGATAACTTTCTGTATTTGATTCTGTGACCCAAAACTAACTCATCTCCCCATACCTACAGAGAAACCTGGGACCATGAGGAGCAGCCTGACACTGGTGGGGACCCTCTGGGCCTTCCTGTCCCTTGTTACTGCTATGGCCAGTTCTACCAGTTACTTCCTGCCATACTGGCTCTTTGGATCCCAGCTGGGGAAGCCAGTGTCATTCAGCACATTCCGGAGGTGCAACTACCCTGTGCGGGGAGAGGGGCACAGTCTGATCATGGTGGAAGAATGTGGGCGCTATGCCAGCTTCAGTGCCATCCCAAGCCTTGCCTGGCAGATGTGCACAGTGGTGACAGGTGTTGGCTGTGCTCTCCTGCTCCTGGTGGCCATGACTGCAGTCCTGGGCTGCTGCATGGAGGAGCTTATCTCCAGAATGATGGGACGTTGCATGGGAGCAGCACAGTTCGTGGGAGGTAAGACAGTGTTGCTGGGATTGGGTAGGTTGGGGATCATTGTGGGGGCAGGGAAAAAAAGGGAATGAGAAATGTTACCTCCTCTATTTCCATCTCTAAGGCTACAAAAAAGGAATCATTTAAAATACTCTAGGACCCTCTAAAGCAGTGGTTCTCAAACTTCTTAATGCTGTGACCCTTTAATACAGTTCCTCATGTAGTGGTGACCCCCTATTTCATTGTTACAAATTGAACATAATTAAAGCATAGTGATTAATCACAAAACAATATGTAATTATATATGTGCTTTCCCATGGTCTTAGGCGACCCCTGTGAAAGGGTCGTTCGACCCCCAAAAGGGGCTGCGACCCACAGGTTGAGAGCCGCTGCTCTAAAGTGTAATCTACTAGTACATGAGGGTTTTATTCACAGTGAAATTGGTTAGTAGGCAGTTGATATGTGTTTTTTAGCCTCCATTTTTATCACCTTCTTCTGCCTGCAGGGTGTCCACTTAAGAATATTATCCAGGTCTACTTTCCAGGGGCAGCAACATATATTCTAGTATTTCTGCTTCAAAATACACTTGATTTCTCCTGATATCAGAGAACAGTGATCTAATAAACACCTACACACAAGTGCTAATTACAAATAAGAGTCTAATGTAAAGTCCTCAACAAAGAAATACATCTAATAGTGAAATGTTAGGTACCAAACAGACCGTAGATAAATGCTTATTAGGCCCACATATAAGGCTATCCCTGTCTGGTAGCCATTAACAGTCAATCTAGATTTTTTATGGCCCTGTCTTATACTATTTATCTTTTCCCTCATTCAAACGCACTCTAAATTAGTGCAGGTAAACCACGGATGTTGGAATTGTATGAACGGGCTAGGAAAGACCAAATACAAAATGGCAACCTGCAGGAAGGCAGTGGGAGAAATTTAATTTGAATTGTATAAGGTTTAAAAGCAATTTTACACAGACAGGCAAATATATGAATGAATATGTGAGCTATATTTTACACCTGGTTCAGGCACTGGGAAAAAGTGCTGATAGAAGCTATTGTTGAAGTGGGTTGTTTTTCATCAAGTTTTGAAATCATTATTTAATTCGTTATCATTCTCATCTCCATTAGCAACACAGTGTGAGTGACTGTAGCCAAGAAATTTGGATCTCACTTCTGGCTCTTCCACTAAGTTGCCCTGTGACCATGGCAAATGACAGTGACCTCTCCTATGTTCACTTCCTTTCTTTCCTTGAATTTGTCCATTAGCAAGATAGCCCAGATCCTAATTTTCTTCCTTTTTTTCCAATTACTTGTTCAGGTGGTCTTGAAATGAGATGGTAGTGATAAGCTAAGTCAGTGATTTGCAACTGGGGTTGATTTTTTTTTTTACCTCCTTTCCCTGAGACACCTAATAATATTTTTGATAATCACAATTTGAAGAGGGTGCTACTGACGTCTAATAGGTAAAGGGTAAGAATGCTGTTAAATACCCCACAGTGGACAAGAATAAGACAGCTCCCCATTTCCAGCAACAAAGAAGTAACTGGCTTAAAATGTCAATAATGCCAAGGTTGAGAAACCCTGAGCTAAGGTATCATGGTTTCTTGACCACCTTATGAAAAGCACCAGATTCTTTTTGTTGAATCACAGTTAAGGTGATGTTTTCAGGTTCTCTCTTTACTCAGACTCATTGCAAAAGTTTGAAATTTGAATTAAAATTCTAGTCTCCCCTATCTCTGAATTTGTTTACTCATAGCTATTAATGGTTTTCTGGTCATACTGGCAAGTCATTAGATTGTTTATTTCTTCCCCTTGAAAACCATGGTATAGAACTAATTACTAAAGCTAGATAAGCCAATGACTTAATTAATCCCCTTTCAGGGCTCCCTGGATATCACAAATGAACCTTAAGCAGGTTCACCTTTCACTTACCTGTCAAGAGTAAGGGGTGGTCCTTGAAACTCATATTTATAGCTCTAGGACCAACCTCAGTGCCAGGCACAGAGAAGGTTTTTAAGAACTGTAGAAAGAATGAACACATGCTAAGGCAATGTCTAGTGAATGTTGGAATAAAATGGACAAATGAGAGCTGCGTTCATTCACATCCTTTCCTTTTTTCCAGGCTTCCATCAAGGGTGTTAACTTCCTGAGTTCTCTTCTGACTTGAGAGTAACAAGTTAGCCTCACTTGCATTTCTAAGAATTTCTGGCAGAGGCTGAGGAAGTATTAACTTGTAGGAATCAGAAGTTGAGTAGCTATAACCTCCATCAGACTCCAAGAATTAACAATGGCTCCTACTCCAAGCTTGAATCCTATCTTGGACTTGGCTGAGATGGTTACAAAACCCTTATGGTTCTTTATGTGACATATTTTAGTTGGGCCCACTTCCTAGGTCTAGAAACTCAAAGGAAATTGTTGAGGAGAGATGTGGGTAGGTAAAATAGAGATGTAGACACTCGTGGACTGAGTGGGGAAGAACTTTGGCTGAGTGCATATAGGGGGAGTCAAAATAGTGCCCTTTTCATCCCATATGATTCTGCCATTCTATATTCCTCATTGACCCGTGCTCATATGAGCATGGTCACAGTATTTACACTGAGATGAGGGTCTTTAAAATTTAAGAATAAAATGCCATTTGACAGTAGTCATGGAAGGAGTCAAGACTCAAGGTGTGCTATAAGGTTTATCCCTTATATTGGACAAGGGAATGATATTGAACAGATAACTAATTTTCCAGTTTCTATATCTGTAACACCAACCAACTAATAGTCATTGCCACCTACATTTTAGAAACTTAGCCTGTTAAGGTGGCATCAGATGTGAAGGAATGGTGAAAACTGCTTGGATATATCATATTTTCTAGGAGTCCTTTGGCACATGACTATTACCTAAGGCTCTTTAGAGATCTCAGGTCTGACTCCTCAAAGATGGGCTCTACTAGAGGCAGACAGCCTAGCCTGACTCAAGAGAAAGAGCTGCGGGGGATTTAGTTTAAACTTGTTATTCAAATGAGGGGAATTGATTTTGTTGCTCCAGGCCTGGCTGATTCTCGGCAGCTAGTGCATTAACCGAAATACATTAGGGGGAGGAGCCAATTTGTTTCAGGTCTGGTTTATCTCTGCCAGACCCCAAACCACTGAAGAGATGGAGTATCCATTAAGAACTATCTCCTCCCCCTGCTTGACTCTTATTCCCCAGTTTGGCAGCTTCCCACAGAGATGAGCGGTGGGAAGTGGGAGAGACAGGAAGAAATAAAGATCTGCTTGACTGAGTCATGCTCAGCAAGGTGACCTGATGGGGCCCTTGGGGCCCATTTAGCTCCACCTGCAGCTGATCCAGCTGGACAAGCTTGGGGTCCAGAGAGCCTTCCACTGGGACCTTCATGCCCTTCTCCAACCGGTGAAGGAAACATCTGGTCAGGAGATTATTTCAGCTCTGGGGATGCTGAGGTTTCCAACCAGCTGGCCCCCAGCCTCTGAGAACAGGGTCATTATTCACATTCCCCTGTGGATGTATACACAAGATACTTGTGAATTATCCTCTATCTTCAGTGACAGCTAAACAAAGAAGAAATAAGTGAGAAGTAAATATAAGGAGCTTCTTGGCAGGACAAAGTGCAAGATCTTGGATCGGGTTGCTTGAGGGAGGCCAAGAATCTTTCTAGAGTAGAGAATGTGTCAGAGTCACCTGGAGTGCTTAAATGATATGGATGTCACACTTTCCCATTCTGATATCCACAGCAAAATGTGGAAGGCATATTTTGAAAAATCTCCCTAGTGACTCTGATGTGTATTCTGTGTTCCCTTTCCCCAACCCAAGTAAGAACCACCACCCTGGAGATTATTTATACAATTTAATACACTCAGACCAGCACCCGTGTTTTATTCTGTGCTACATGCTTCAGGCCAGATGAAAATTGCCACTGGAAACAGATCACTGAGAACTTGATTCAAGGAAAGGGTGCTATTTTTCTAAAAACCATTTCCTGGAAAGTCCTCCAAAGTTTCACCAGATATTATTTAACTTATCCTTACCAGGCTGAACAAGGATTATAAAAGTGGCTTTATGTTTGGGAAAATGTTTTCAAAGAAGTTAACCTGCTAGCAAAGACTCGGGTACAAATTGAAGCAGGGCAGAAAATATGGTTCAGGGATTCTGATGCTCAGCTCTGGGCTTTATGCACCAGTGCTACTGATTTTTCTTTTTCCCTTTGGAGAAAAAAATGCTATCACAGTGTTTTGCAGAGTGGTCCATGAAGCACTTGTCTAAGTATTACCTGGGGTGCTTGTTAATGCAGCTTGCGTAGGGCCATTCTAAGACCACTGAATCAGAACTGATGCTGGGCACCCTGCGTTTTATACAACCTCTCATGCTGATTTATTTTTGAAATGATAGTAGGAAATATTTCTGATGTATGTACCACTCAGCAGAAGAAATAGAGTTTTACCAATACAGTTGAAGTCTCCTTCCTACCGTCATCATAGTCCCTTGTCCCCACAGCAAAGGTAACTACTGTCTTGGATTTGTTATTTATGATTCTCCAGCAGATTCCAGTACACATATAAAGTTGAGAACCTCTGCTAAGTTTTGTTTTAATATTGCTTTTAAAATGGAGTTCCCTTTTCTTCTATGTCTGCTTGTACATAAATATCCCTCTATCTCCCAAAGTCAAATTCAACTTTTCTGTGAAGCCTCCACTGATCTACTTTAGAAATCTCTAGCAGCACTGCAATGTCTTATAACTCTGACTGAAAATATTAGGTCGAAAGAGTGGAAGACTTGGGTGGGGGGAGTTCCCAGGAAAGGGAAAGCTGAGATATAGCTGGAGGGTAGATATAAATTTTCCACTGTGTTTGAGTTGAAGTTGCTACAAGAGCAATAAATTGAGCAAATTAATAGCAAACTAACTCATACTAGGCTTCTGCTCAGGGTAGTAAATTCAAAGTACTAATAACCATATTTGGACAAGTATTTATGGATTGGGTCCGGTAAGTAACAAAGTCACTGCACTCT